AAAGATCCGCCAAACAGTCAAAGATCTCAAAGTTGAGACTTAATTCTCGAATAGATTCGTATTTTTCAGTTGATTGTGTCTCACACAAAAGAGGTGAATTTAGCACCAACCCTTTTGCTAGTGACAGTTACGGAAAAAGAATACTAGCCATCGGGGGACAGCCTTGGCCGAGTAGTTTGTCCATGTCTAGACTGTACAATGACTTTAGACATATGCAGTGCGTCTCTCTGAACCACAGGAACTAAACCGATGAAGTCGAATACAATCGCAATCAACGAACCCAACACTCAAAGACATCTGCTCATTGCCTGAGATATCTACAATTTCTTCATTAAAATACCCAACAAATGCAGTTAATTCATGATGTAGTTTTTTATATCTTGCTGCTGCCAGTGCTTCGTTGATCCAAATCAACGTTTTGACTTAGACGTTGGCATGCGAAGAGCTTTCTGGTATCTCTTCTATCGTAAACTGGTGGACGTGTTTCACTTGCTATTTTATCGAGCGCTGACACCGACCACAAGACGTTAATACATTTATACTCTTTACTTTTGTTCAAAGAAACTAGAACATTTATCACATTGAGAGATAATTGGCAAGGATTTCTCCTCCAAGGCAAAAAAATAATTTTTAGACCTGAACTAAATATAAAAAGTAATTGTGCATTTTACGTCTCGTGACGATGTTTTCCCTTTGCGATGCAACTTCTTGTGTGACTAAAGAGGCCAATCCTTTGTAGGCTTTCACCCTTCTTTCTACAACTGTTGTGTATGGCATCTGCAATCCAGCTCGCTCTTCATATGGATTTATCTAGTGCCACTTTTCCCAGCTGTTAGTGCCAATTTCGTAAAGCTTCATGTCGCGTTTGCATACATCAGTATACCTTAGCAGTGGACGACTTGCGGATCTCCTGCCTTCTGTTAAATCACCATACAGAATGCCTTGTGAAAGTCGACCTTGTGGCATTCATAATAACTAAATCTATGTGTAAATGAAAACAAATCGTCACGACTAACATGCTATAGAATATGTGACACCCTTTATAGTGCAAAGAATTGCAAGCCTATAATAAATCGTACATGGTCGGACATGAACTACAGATTTGCCTATTCTAGTTACAATAATAGAATATCTTTACAGCTGTACTTCAGTGGAAGCACTACTTGTTAAGTTACTACACTTTATAATATTCCAATGATAGACCTTTAGAGTTAGACCTAGAAGACGATGCGCAAACGTTTCTTGAACATTAAATTATTAAAATCTTGAATCAATAATGCATGGGCGCTCGCAGGGAGTACATTGTGGTGCACTTGCACCCCTCTGGATTCTGACTAAATCGACATCTACGTAATAAAATAAAAAAGACTTTGAAGATGTATTTCACTATAACATATATAAAAAATGGCTAAAATGTGGCTACTCGGAATTCAGAGGCGTGCACGTACATGCATTGGTCATCAATTCCTGATACGCCTAGGCTAATCTACTATTACACTAACTAGTGGAAGCACTACTTGTTCAGTTGCTACTTAGAAGTTAATTAATTTGATGGTGCGGGTGCCAATGCTCTCGTCTCATAATTATTATTTAGCAATTTGTATATACATAATCTAGAAAGATCTAGGTAATCCATCAACAAGGTGATTAAAATATCAGACTTAAATTATTTCTATCTAGGATTTTCGAAACATTATCTCAATAGAAACTAACAGGAAATGGCTTTAAGTCGAAGATTTGCCAGAATATTTAGTTCTATGATTAATTGTCCATTTATTTAAAAATCCGCAAAATGGTATTACATTATAACTAAACTTTAAAATCTAAAGATCATTACTTTCTTGATAAAGAATACCACCATACAAATGTTTTTGCACATAGGGCTTGTAGAAACGAATTAGATCTAAACTTTATTTATTCCATCACTGATAAAATTATTTGTATTGGTAAACATCTTGCTTCCAGGCCTGATGTACTTGTACTGCGGTGGGCAGCAACCTTTCCAGAAAAAATCAGCACCTTCCAATATGCTGTATGGCCAGTTTGAGATTATTTCTACACTTCGAACCAGTATTTTGTAGACACACATAGGCCTGTGTACACGTTCATTTTCAATTAGATTTAATTAGTGCATATGTGTATTTTAACTGGCGGCTGGTATCTTGAATTTTAAATGTAATATGCAGTTATTGTGACGGAGACTGATCCAATTAACGATTGTATTTATATGGACACAGCTTAACTACTTCATCGACTTCTTTGAAGATTAACCCATTGATTAACCCATTGATTAACCCATTGCTGCTTGCACTTCGGTTCACCCTTTTATATACTTTTACAGCGTGTGACCTCATTCACCAAAAAAAAAAAACGGTCACGTGATGACTATTGATAAAAACAACGAAAAATACTGTTGCGTGATATCCATTGTTGATTAGAATTAGGTCCTAAGTTGTATAGAGGAGATAGGGAAGCACGTGACTCAATGTTGTTTGTTTACGATTGGTGAATGGGGTCCATTGTTGCCTACTCACTGAAGCTTCTATGTGCGGTGTTTTTATGTTGTTCCATTTTTATATATAGATATATGCAATTAAAATTGAGTGTTCCATTTTCAAATTTGTGATAGATCTAGACTAACAATAAAAAAAGCATTTACAAAAAAAAAAAAGAAAAGGGGGGGGGGAGCCAACACGGTAACCACTCTGCCAGTGGAGAGCTTATGAACATGGAAGTTTGTATAATTATCTATTGTTTCTTTAGTCTCGTCCAATTTTTAATGTGTTCACTAAAACTCAGACGACGGTGTATAAAGGGGACTAATTCAGCTTATACCACCACTTCAGTCAAGAACAAATTCTTTCCCTTGTTTGAGATACCAAACAAAATTATTAATTACCAATAATTAATTACCTTTTTGGTTATTTTTCACCACTGATTCTTGTGTTATCATGTGAGAGATATACCTGTGCAAAATTTCAGCTTGTTCCGAGAATGGGTGTGAGGGAAATAACGTGTACAAACTTTTGACCAGACAGACAAAGAGAGTTAATATAAGCTTTGTAAAATATGACTTTGTTTAATGATCCTTCTTTCATCTTCCAATGTAAGAGAAAACGTGGTGAAAGACTCATGTCAAGTCTACTGTGGACAACTTTCAGCCCATTTGGTGAAAGACTCATGTCAAGTCTAATGTGGACAACTTTCAGCCCATTTGGTGAAAGACTCATGTCAAGTCTAATGTGGACAACTTTCAGCCCATTTCACTTCTCCTCGAACTGTAATGATCCCATCCTTGTGATACTGCAATGTGTCTGTCAGACGATGTTTCAGACAAAAACAAAACTTGTTATTTTTTAAAAAGCTTATATCAACTCTGTCTGTCTGTCTGGTTTTAATTTTGAACAAGTGATTTCTTCCACTTCCTTTTCTAGGGTGAAGTTGAAACTTTGCAATTATTCATTGCTCTTAACCAAACATGAATCAATAAAAAAATTTACTTATTAATTAATGAAATAAAGTAAAGTAAATGTTTACCATTTGTGATCTGGCGATTTATAGGGCAGGCCATGTTTTTTTTTGGGCCAACGGTTAAAGAGCAGGATGTTATGTAGTCAGCATAACGACCAACTGCATTCCCAACTAAACCCATTTAGAGTTGGGTTGACTTAGGGGCGCCCTAAAATTCCCAAAATTTAAAATCCAAGCCTTCATCGAGATTCAAACCCAGGACCCAGGTTCAGAAGCTAAGCGCTTAACCACTCAACCACCACGCCCCAGGCAATTAGATAGTGGTCATTAATAAAATTTGTTTGATATCGAAAAGGGTAAATAAACATTACAGTATTGGCTGTAAAATGCGGAGTTCTTCCCCATAGATAAGTTTTTTTTAAAAGCCTTTAAAAATATAATTTGGTTGTTCAATTCATTCTATTATCAGCAGCTTAAAGTCTGGCGTAAAAATGTCCTTTCCCCCCCCCCCCCCCACCCAACGAAATCATTGACTTATCACTGGAAGGTCGTAGGTTTCTTTTTCGATGTCTTTACAAACTATGGACATAAAATCTTAAGTTTCAATATTATATCAGAACATCTTCATTGTTTGCTTCGTCTGCTTGTAGACGAGTTTTACTTTTCATTTCGAGCAGACATGACCAGAATTTCCTCAACTATTTTGTACTATATCCAGTTGAAAAGTTAGGATAATATTTCCTTTTGGAACAGTATCTCGAATGCTACCACTTGGTAGGTCAAATACGTGGGATAGAAAGCTTTCAACTTTTTGACATAAAAAAAAACCTGATCCCCAGTCTTAATGTTTTATTAAGCCTTTTTTTTTAAACCACGTTTAGACTGAACACTGGCAAATTTCAAAACAAACAAGGCGCCATGTTTAGCTTGGTGTTACACTTCTTAGTTATCCCCCTACCCATTTTGTTTTGTTATCAATGAATGTGACATGTAAAAAATCACAGTACGTGTATTGTACTGTTGTGACCGACTTGTAAATTCACTAACAGCAAGCTTGAGTTGTTTGTCAACTGCTTGAGTTAGAGGATGTCATGATCTATTTTTACCACCCCACCCTAAAAGTGCAATGTTGACGCGGGAATTTCAGACTCCCGCCTGTTTCGGTTCACTGATCAATTTAAATCTAACTCACCAATCACCATATTTGATATTTGGAAAACATTTTGAACAGGGCACTTTTAAGGTACATAAGTCATAATGTAGATGAACTTTTGCTTTTACAAAGTGAGATCACAAAATGCCAGGGGGGCGTGTGGATACAACTGGATCTTGCCATTATATTTTATATCAATGTTAACTAAAATAAAATAATAGCACCCCATTAGGCAAGGAATATATGACTGATTAACTCAACCTCTGACCGCAGCTGTGCATCAAGGATTGGACTCTTTAGTCACAAGTTACAAAGGGGAATAGCTACCTCTGAAAATATAAAATACCACAGAACTCAAAAAATACATTCGAAATACTTTTTTTAAAGTGTCAAAATTATTTAATAAAGTCTCATTACAAATGTGCTTAAAATAGCACTAGAATAGACACTCACATAAACACACACACACACATCAACTAATACTTTAGATAAAAACAACTTAAAAATATTATGATCACCATTTTCTTGCCCCCAAATAACTATGTAAAAGTAAAGTTCCCCTTTTAGACCTTGCTGTCTAGAGTATATATTGCATAAAGGTCATCTATTTCTGTGGCCTACGGTTAACAAGGGTGTCATGTGGTCAGCACAACAATCAACCACCTTTACTTTTCCCCAACTAATGTCATTAGAGATGGGTGGACTCAGAGGCGCCCAGAGGATTCCGAAATTAAAAATCCCAGTCTTCAACAGGATTCTAACCCGTGACCACCGGTTCGGAAGCCAAGCGCCTTACCGCTCAGCCTCGGCGCCGCCACATAACTATACAACATGTACACATTTTATCATTCATTACCAAACATTCGAGATACTCAGTAGATACTATAATACATTCAAAACTTCAATCTACATTGAAGAATTGAATAAAATCTTAAACAATGAAAAAAAAAATACATCTTGTAAAAAAATGTACTTAGACGCATTATGTCATAAGTATTTTATTTCAATTTGATTCATACTGTTAACCTTTAAAAGACTTTGGAGCATGGGCGTAGCCAGGGGGGTTCTTGGGGTTCAACCCCCCCCCACCGAAGTGAAATCCCCCCCCCCCCCCCGAAGGGGAGATCGGAATTTAGTAATTGATTTTTTGCTTTGATTGTGTTTATTTTGGGTGATATTTTAATACTATACCATCACTTGCCCCAGCGCAGCCAAGGGGTTTTGAGTTTAAAACCCCTTTCAGGTTTTTTTAGTTTAAAACCCCCTGCCAGGGGGTTTTGAGTTTAAAATCTCTACCTGGGGTTTTTTAGTTTAAAACCCCCTACCAGGGGATTTTGAGTTTAAAATCCCCTACTAGGAGGGTTTGAGTTCAAAACCCACTACTAGAGTTTTATTGCAGTTAAATCCCTCTCTTCTAATAACAAAACAAAACAAAAAAAAAAGGAAACCACTATCCCCTAATTCCAAGAGCACAGTTAAGGAAGATTTTGATTTTATAACCCCCTATTCAATATTAAAAAAGCAAATGACACTCAAAATTCTATGAGCGTAGCGTAAGGTTTTGAGTTGAAATCCCCTCTCCTCTTCAGTAGGGTTTGAAGCTAAAAAATACCTCTTCAATATAAAAAAAAAGCAAATTACGCACTCAAAATGTTATGAGCGTAGGTAAATGGGTTTCGACTCAGTTCTGAGTTTAAACCCCTTTTAGCGGGGTTTGAAGGTAAAAAATACCTCTTTAATATAAAAAAAGCAAATTACACACAACAATTATTTGAGCGTAGCCAAGCCTATTGGGGTTTTTGAGTTTAAACCCCTCTCCTACAGTTTGCTTTTCTTAAAAGTTTAAAACTCCTCCAGATGGTTTTGAGTTAAAAAAAAATTCTAAAGCAAACTACAGTTACCAAATACTATGACCGTAGCTAAATGGGGTTTGAATTAAAGAAAAAGAAACTCCAGAGATTTTTTTGTTTAAAATCCACAGCAGATGATTTTGACGATAAAACTTCCCTTTTCGATATAAAATCTAAAGCAAACTACAGTCACCTAATCCAAGCGCTCCCCCAGACCCCATTGCTGTCAATGGCGTGGAGTCTACAATTTTTCCACTAACTCCAGGAAGAAAAATTCTAGGGCATAATAAGCATCTTTCGAAAGAATCAAGGGTCAGAATATAATAAAGATCATGTACACACACACACACATACATACTATTAATTTTTTTCTCTCCCCCCCCCCCGAAAAAAAAATCCTGGCTACGCCCATGCTTGGGAGTATCTGTACATAATGAAAGGAAAGCTCTTTTTATATCTAACTGCAATTATGTCTTCGTATATCGCTAGGAAAGTTACTATAAAAACATGTAGCAACAATCATAAGATAATATATATCTACTACATAACATGGTTGTAATTGGAAATAAATAAATAACATGCAAAGAAATGAAATATTGTATCACAATAGTAGAGCGGCGAGGTGTTATTACACGTCACAGATAGTCCACTGCAATGCAAATAAATGCTAACAACCCGTGAGGCTGTTAATGAGAAAGATGTAAATGAAAAATTCAGAAGATAATGATTTAGAAGATAATGGCGAAGAAGATAATGAAAAGTTAATATTCTGGTAGGTCTACATAATTCTTTAAATCGACGAAGTAGACCCAATGAGTTCGTTGGCAATAATAATTACCTTTCATTAACTTTAATTCTCTTAATAAGTGTGTACCAGCGGCGTCGCTAGTTTTGGTGTCACCCGGTGCGATTCACTCAAGTTGCCCCTCCACCATACCAGTAAATTTCGCCCAATCGTTAGTTTGTTCTAATTATTGAACAATATTTATCATAATTAATGACATACAGCGAACTAACAAATGTATTGATTGTATTGATTACTACACAACTGTACATTGAGTGTCAGTTCTGTTTTTTTTTAAAATTTCATTGTTCATGAGATTTTATTAATAGTTATTACATATATTAAAATATAAGATTATTAAAGCTAGCAACAAACTTATCATCTACTGAATATTTTTATTAAAATTTAAGAATTCCTAAGGAAGAGGTTCATCTCTGTACTTCTAGGTTTGTAACAACAAATCCAACAATGTAATCTTTCCTAAAATGTATTAAAATTGATTAAACTAGAAAAAAATATGTTAATAACATTCCAAACCATAAACGATTTAAACTTGCGAACATGTTAATAATTTTATCAAAGTGAATATTTTGAACTATACCACCAGATTCGCTTTTAATAGACAGAATTAGCAGAACTTGTGAATTAGCAGAACTTGTGAATTAGCAGAACTTGTGAATTAGCAGAACTTGTGAATTAGCAGAACTTGTGAATTAGCAGAACTTGTGAATTAGCAGAACTTGTGAATTAGCAGAACTTGTGAATTAGCAGAACTTGTGAATTAGCAGAACTTGTGAATTAGCAGAACTTGTGAATTAGCAGAACTTGTGAATTAGCAGAATGTGTGAATTAGCAGAACTTGTGAATTAGCAGAACTTGTGAATTAGCAGAACTTGTGAATTAGCAGAACTTGTGAATTAGCAGAACTTGTGAATTAGCAGAACTTGTGAATTAGCAGAACTTGTGAATTAGCAGAACTTGTGAATTAGCAGAACTTGTGAATTAGCAGAACTTGTGAATTAGCAGAACTTGTGAATTAGCAGAACTTGTGAATTAGCAGAACTTGTGAATTAGCAGAACTTGTGAATTAGCAGAACTTGTGAATTAGCAGAACTTGTGAATTAGCAGAACTTGTGAATTAGCAGAACTTGTGAATTAGCAGAACTTGTGAATTAGCAGAACTTGTGAATTAGCAGAATTTGTGAATTAGCAGAACTTGTGAATAAAAACCAATTAAAAAACAAAACATAAAAAGAAAGCCCACAAAAGAGGCAAGATGGCCCATACAAGAGGCACATTAAGCCCACAAAAAAAGAGGCAAAGAAAAGAGTCCTAAGGCCCAAGGATTCCTATGATGATAAAGCTAAAATTGAATAGCGCAAATTCTGAGGTTTTCTTAAAATATATATATATTTTAAAATAGCTTTTATATAGCGCAACTTTCATGCTTATAGCATACTCAGAACGCCTTGGTCCAATCTCATTTGTGGACCAGTGGGTGGGAGGGGGGTATCTAGGAGAAGGTTTTCCGTGCTGCTTTTAGGTCCTTAGTAAACACAACAATGCTCGAGTCGGGTGTCGAACCTCGACCCCCTTAAAGCCAAGCCAAACACAAGCGTACTTAGCCTCTCGGCCACACATTTCAATCTTTTGAAAAGCTTCTGTCACATGATGCTACAGACAGACAGACTGCACCTCTATGACTCCTTCATAGAACTCCCACGATCCAAGTCAAGATGGAAAGTTTAAGTGGTAATAGTCAGTAAAATAAATAAATTCCCCCTACATACCTTGCAATCTATGGGTGAAGTAAAGGTCATCTGTTTCTGTGGCCCACGGTTAACGAGGGTGTCATGTGGTCAGCACAACGACCAACCACTTTTGCTCAGGTTATAGTGATGAAAGTTAAACAAAATATAACTTGACTTAACATGTAAAGTAACGTTCCACCCTTCAGACCTATGGGGCAGGTGAAGTAACGGTCATCTGTTTCTATGGCTCACGGTTAACGAGGGTGTCATGTGGCCAGCACAAAGACCAACCGCCCTTACTTTTACCAAATACTATTAGGTTCCCATTAGAGCTCGGTGGACTCAGATGTGCACTGAAGATCTCGAAAGTAAAAGTCCCAATCTTCACCAGCATTCGAACCCCGGGACACCAAGCGCTTTACCTCTCAACCACAGCGCCTCTTGACTGTAAATGTACTTTAAAGTAACCATGTAACTCAAAAAAAATTTTTTTTGTCTAAATAGCAGCATGGATAACATGGTGACGTATTCAATCAAGATGTAAGAAAGCTGGTTTGTGTACAATGCTACGTAGCGGAATAAATAGTTGGCGTTTAATTCAATAGAGAATAATAAATTAACCTGTTTATGCGTCTCGTCAACTCATGTTATTTAAAGCAGTCAGGTTTAGAGTCAACTAAATACCAAGGGACGAACTACAAGCTACAGGCTGGATAAGTAACCTCTGATTCATAATGTACACGGGGGAGGGATTCTGGGGGAGGGACAGAGCCCTTATGCTAATATCCTCTTTCTTCTTTACTCAATTCATAGGGAGACACTAAGAACACTGAAAATGGAAACTAACTTGTTTTGAATGATTACAAGAAAAAGTCACGTACACAGTGACCCACCCTGCCCAGCCTAGATTCCCATAGCTCGTATGGTTCACGTGTCAGTATGCTAGGGACCCTTTTGAAAGATATGCGTTTTAAGAAGTTGTTTATTTCACATGAACGCGCTAAGTTGTCCTGATGTGAGCTGATCCAGAACCTTGTTTGCCATTTGGCAAAAGTACATGTTTTGCTGTCGATGATACAGTTCAATGTGGAATCCTAAAAACCTGTAACTGGTTCATTACCTTCCATACATTGAGTCTTAGTTTGTAAAGGAATGATTTCAAATGGAAAAACAATAGAAGAAATATGTTATTGCATTGGAATCAAGTCGATTTTTCATTCTTTAACATAGGAGGATCTAAAACGTTCGATTGGGGTGAAAGGTTACAATGTAAAATTCATTTGTTTTCTGGTATAAAAATATATTGTAGTATATAGTAAAAGATGGACTAAATGTTTTTGGGTTGTTGTTTTTTTCCCATGAACATCACATAGAAATACAGGCTGCGTGTGCGGCCCCTGAGTATGGCGCCCGGGGCATCGTGCCCTTCTTGCCACACCCCCCCCCCCTTTCACTACGCCTCTGGTTGGTGGTCGCAGTTGAATGACTGATGACTGATGTATCGTTCTATATTACAAGACTTTATTTTTTTGAGGCTATAATGTTCAAATAATAAGGAAACAAGAAAAAGAAATGTCAAAAAGCTTATATAAGGGAAAGCACCGCACAATTACCATCACGTCTCTCAGTAGTGCAAGGTTTATCTCCCCCTTTTCACGTAAAGGAGCTCGAACCGAGCTGTATTTGCTGAAAGCTCAAAGGCAACATGAACTCGAACCGAGCTGTGTTTGC